ACCCAGCGGGGGGTCACCCCCCGGGGGGTCCCAGACTGTGAAAAAGCACAGGCTGGGCCTACCCCCCCCCCCGAGTGCACAAATTTTTGTGCACCAGACCTCTAGTATCAAATAATTAGTGCCAAGTAGAAAAATGTAACAGCATAAGGAATGAGGCGTTAACAGGAGATGCTATTATATTTAGCAGAGTCAGAAAAGGCCTTCTCTATAATCCAAGAAAGATAACCATCATATACTACACTTTTTAAAATTTTACAACAAATATTTATTGAACTTACTATGTCTGTATTCTAAGAATTTAATTATGTTTTAACTCATTGAACTGTCACAGCAGTCCTTGAGATATTATTATTATTCCCATTTTACAGATGCTGAGATACACTACAGGAAGAGACAGATCAAGATCAAGCCCAGTCAATCTGGTTCCAGAGACTGAGCTGTTCCTATTGCCTTCTGATGACAAACTGTATTCAAAAGATAGCCAGGCCTGAGCCAATCTGCTCAGTGCTTAGAGTGTGGGCCCCTATGAACCGAAGGTCGCAGGTTCAATTCCAATCAAGGGCACGTACCTGGGTCGCAGGTTCAATCCCTGGCCAGTCAGGGCAAGTGCAGGAGGCAACCAATCGATATCTCTCTCTTACATCGATGTTTCTCTCTCTATCTCTCCCTCTCCCTTCCAATCTCTAAATAAATGGAAAAAATATCCTCAGGTGAGAATTAACAAAAAGATAGCCTGAACTCAGCATAGGAGAAAAAAAAAGCAATAAAAAAAGCAATGGAACACAATAGAGTTAAATCATATTATCAAAAAGTTCTACACAAAAGAAAACAAATTGAGGATCTAGGTTAAGAGGCTTTAGTATTTAAGCAAACTAAGCAAACCAAAAAGAAGACAACTACAGAGGAGCAAACACCGTACATTACATTTTAATAGTCAATCCTCAGACAGGATGTAGCTTGTTCTAAGACAGTGATGGCGAACCTATGACACGCGTGTCAGAGGTGACACACGAACTCATTTTCTTAGTTGATTTTTCTTTGTTAAATGGCATTTAAATATATAAAATAAATATCAAAAATATACATCTTTGTTTTACTATGGTTGGAAATATCAAAAAATTTCTATATGTGACACGGCACCAGAGTTAAGTTACGGTTTTTCAAAATGCTAACACGCTGCGCTCAAAAGGTTCACCATCACTGTTCTAAACCAAAGATCCACAATCTTTTCCTAAAGTTACATAATATGTGAATGACCAGCATTCCCAGTTACTTCAAATAATCCTATATAATAAAAGCCTAATACGCAAATTGACCAAACGGCGGAACTACCAGTCGGCGGGGGGCGGGGCTGGTGATCGGCAACAACCAGCAGTGGGCCAGCCACTCACCAACCGGTGCCATCCCCCGATCTGCCCCATTGGCCCGCAGGTCACTTCCCACAGAGGGAGGCCAGACTGCAGCTTAGACATCCCCTGAGGGCTCCTGGACTGTGACAGAGTGCAGGGTGGGTTGAGGGAACCCTGCCCCCGAGTGCACAAATTTTCGTGCACCAGGCCTCTAGTCTATATATGCAAAGTGTCCCCTGGGGAGTTTGACCAACCTGGAGTTCGATCTCTCGCTATGACGTGCACTGACCACCAGGGGGCAGAAAAGAATGAAGGAAAGCCCCAGCCAGCAGCCGGGGAAGGGAGGCCCCAGCCGCTGGTCTGCAGCCACTAGGGACTCTACCTGTACACGAATTTTGTGCACTGGGTCTCTAGTCTTTCATAACAAATAAGAATACAAACTGCTACCTGATTTATAAGCAGTACATCTGCTCTGAACATTAAGATCCCACTAGTAAAGAACAATTTTGTCCAAAGGGCTCCTACAGCTAACATGCAGAGCGTAACTACAAAATGGAAATTAGAAATGAAAATGGAAACACACCATACTAAAACTTATAGACAGAGGGAAAATTTATAACTACAAATGCTTACACTAAAAAACATGAAAGCTCTCAAATAATCTAACTGGACAACTTAAGGAACTAGAAAAAACTAAACAAACTAAACCCAAAGCTAGATAAAAAGAAAATAATAAAGTTGAGAGCAGAGATATAGAAAATAGAAAAATACAATCAGTATAACCAAAAGTTGCTTCAAAAACACGAACAAAGTTGTCATAACTTTTCCTAAATGGACTTAGAAAAAATCACTCATTATTAAAATCAGAAATAAAAAGGATTATAAAAGTGTACAATAACTGTAGGCCAACAAACAAGATAACCTGGATGAAACAGACAAACCACTACAAGCACATACCTACCAAGCCTAAATCACAAAGAAATAACCAATGTGAATAGACCTAAAACTTATAAAGATATTGAATCAGTAATCAAAAATTCCCAACAACTCAGAACTTGGACCCAGACTCATACGGGAGAAACTGGACTGTCTGGCATCAGTCAGAACTCGAGGGCAGCTTTCTCTCGGAGGTGCTTGCAGAGACTGCCAGGACACTGAGAAGCGGGGCCTCTGAGGGCAGCCATAGCTGCTTGCTCCACCCTGTTGGTCCCCTGGGACCCCAGCCCTGCCCAAGCTGTGTGCGCCGGCTTTTGCATATGGAAGGCCTGGCCCTTTGCAATCTGAAAATTACCTAACAAACTGCAGCTGGCCCAAGGCCCCAAGGCAACTCACATTGCTT